CCAACACCATGTCATCCTCGTCATAGGAGTAGACATCTATGCAGGAACACGGAGGAGAAACAGAGACTTATAATGGCCTGTGATCTCAAATTCACAGCTGGATGAAGAGAACAGAGTGCTCAGAACTGTGAGTTTTGACAAACTGGGCAGTTGGGGCTTCTTTTCCTCCTCAGCAGAATAGCATCACAGAACACTGAGATTCCTCTGAACGACGTGACAAGACAAACAACTTGACAAGACAAACAACTTTGCCACTGATCGAGGTACAGAGGTACACATACGCTCGGAGTGAGGAAATTGGGTTACTGTGCCATATACTCTCTGCTTAAGATTTGGACACAAAATTCTTTGATAAACACCCCACCACGGAAAATAAGATGGCAACCTGGATAACTATTCTAAAGTCCTCCAGTTACAAGGGAGTGGAAGAGGAAGGCAAGGTTTTATCAGCTGTTTCTTCACTTCATACAAGAAGTACATCAGAGTGGAGAAGTTCACAATGGGATGGCACTGCACATTCCAGGTCATAAGATGGGCAGCATTAGTCCCATACCTGGAAATCCTCCCTGACTTGCCTTGTCAGAGACCCAAGTCAGCCTGAGCGTGCCTGGGATTTCCCCACAGAGGATCCCCTTCTCACCAGCCCCATCAGGAGTAATTGTTCCCAGTTTCACAGCCAGTGGGTAGCCAGTTTCTCGGTAATGCTCGACCGCGTGATTGTTGCCACCACTGCCATCAAAGTAGCGCCGACCACAGAGGATGGCCCCGTCCGTCATGTTCAGCCACAGGTTCTCCTTCATGTCACACTTGCTGCACTTCCAGCCACTATGGACAGGGAACAGAGAAAAAGAGATCAGAGCGAAAACCTTTGGATCCTACCTCCCAAGCCCTCTCCGTTACTACCCACTGCTGACCGCATTACCCGTACTATAGGCAATCTCAATCCTCTTTCATTTCAGAACACTGAGCATCCTGAAATGCCTTAGTTTGCCATCTCCTCCGAATTTACTATAACAAGGCACACTCAGAGACTCACAAAAGCAGCGTCATCTGCTGCTGCAGTACAGGACAGGAGAAGAAAGTGACGGGGACAGGTCTGGGACACATCTAGTTTCAGTACTAAGCTCACCATGGTGGGATGCGGACATCGTTCTGAAGTTGGTGCAGAGAAAAAGCGTGTTTGGAAACACGTCGAACCTCCCCATCCCAAGCTTGCACCTCCTGCTTCCGTGAGGCTGAATCTGCTGTCAGGATGGCCTCAATTGCACTGGCAATCTGGAATTAGGACAGCAGGAAAAAACATGAAGGGCACATGGAAAGAAGCTTCCAGTAGCACAACACTGTACATTTAGGCAAGTCAGTTGTGTTATGGAGCCTCTGTCACACACAAGCCAGGACTTCATAATATAAAGAACTGTGTAAATGCAGAACAGTCCTGCTACTGCCAGCTGAGACTTCACAGCAGCTCTGCAGGATCCCTTTCACAGGGTAGTGTTTCCTTCTCTGTAAAGGTACATTTCCTCATCAATAGAAAACACAGGCCTACACCCAAACATACCCTATCTCTGACCATGTCTGGTAGGCCCTCCAGCCCATCACGAGGAATATCCAAATGGTCTGGGAAAATTACTATTTTTACATCTTCGTCATATTCAAACTTTTCTTCTGTGATGTCAAATCCACCTTCTACACCTACAGGAAGAAAAAAACATCGTGGTAACAGGTAAAACCAAAGAGCTTGCCAAGCTTCTTTGCCCAGAGTTTACATGAAATAAAGCACTATGACTAAGATAAAGCTCTAAATCAGTGATCTATAACCTTTCTTCCACTTCTGGGTCCCAAAATTTCTGCTGGCAGTGTGGACTTCACAGAAGCAAATATAAGCCCAATGACAACAGGTTTGCCTTTTCCCAGCTCTTTTTACCGATGCTTAAAAAGAGTCTCCAGACCCTGACTACAACCAGAAAAAAACCACTTGTTCTAGAACAGAGCCAAGATAAAGCACTGGAGTTCATCCTTCACCAGAAGACTCAAGATGGTGAATGGAGATGTGCATGAAGAGATCATCTTGCAGCCCTGTGCACAGGTCAGCTCTGCCAGCATCTTTAAGGAGCCTGCCTCTGTTTCTTGCCTTTTCCAGAAAGGATAGTTCAGAGTCCTGAACTCAAGCAAGAAGAACCAGGAACTCCCCTGGAACATCCAGAATCACAGAAAAAGCCTTAGGAAAGGTATAGTGCTAGTAGTTTCTCATGTACACTTAGCCTTGCTTTCCAGAGGTTGGAACAGAAATGGGAGATCCATACATAAAAGGTTATTTGCCAGCTGCCAATAGTCATGATGGATGTTCACCTAAAACATCTGTAGTTTCTGCAGATTCCCTCAACTACAGCAGGGAACAGTTTCTGAATTATGTAGGAACTCAGGGAAAAAGCTTGGCTGTTCCTATTCTCCAGGTGTTCACATGCTACATCCCAGAAGGAAACAGGCAAGACAGACAGGGTTTATTAGCAGCCTAAACCCCCTGATTTTTTAAACTGAATTTCCTTTATTCCTTGAAAAATTGCACGTTGTGGCTCCAATAACCTCTGCAACAGATCTATGAACATCTGTGACTGCAACAAATTTCTGCAGGGAATACAAGCTTTTGCTGTTCAGTGTCTCTGCCTCAAGAATCCTCTGCGTGACACAGTTCTGATAACCACTACCGCATTTCCTTAAAACATTATTGACAAAAACACTCGGTCCCATGAGATCTTCTGCAACTCCCTCCTTAGATACCTACAATTTTTACACTGTGCACAAACTGCTACCTATGAATATGGTGATTTTAGAAATACCTGAAAACAGTCCCCAGCATCATGCAACAACATACCCAGATAATCCTCTTCTGTGCCTCTTTGGCACAGCCCAGAGAGATTTCCTGTCACCACTTCACAGAGTAAAGCCATACACAATCCCCCAGGGCATTACACGATTCCCAAACTCTAAACAAACTAAACCAGACTGGTGAGGTTTCCTCAGTGGTTATATGAACCTTCTGAGGCTCTAGATGAGGAAGAGTGTCTTCAGCCAGCAGACTGACTCCTAGTCCTTTCCCCCCCACTTATAGCCAACACCTTGCCACGAGGCACACTGTTTCCCTTTCCATGGTATCTACGCACCACAGACTACAAAAGTCATTCAACCAACATTCAGGCATAGGAGGCAAGCACTGTAGATTTCTTTTTTTTTTTTCCATGGAGAGGGGAGCATGAGGTACAGAGAGATCAAGGGCTACATTTTGCAGCTAATGACATTTTGCTCTGAAATCTTTCTAGTACTTTAAAAAAACCTCCTGTGTCAGGATTAGCTAAACGACCATAGTTCAGCTAAAATAAAGATAAAAAAAATCTCTCCTGAACTTAAGACCACTGTGTCACAGGGCTAATACTTTCTTTTATTCTCTCCTGATCCATTCACACCACTAAACTGTTATCACAGGTAGATATTTGCGAACCCACTGATAACACTTCTCTCAAGACCTTTGCAGAATTCAGGATGCAGAAGTAACTCATAATGCAGACTGGGCCTCATCTCTCCAAAAGCAGCATAATTGTATCAATAAAAGCACTGGCTACCTGAAGAAACATAGATTCTAGTCTCAATTTTGCTAGAAGTGATCTTTTGGACTCCATTCAGCTCACCATCCAAACAGAGAGCAGCTGACAGCCTTAATAGCAGTGTTTGTGCTCCGGCAGCAGTGGAAAAAGTGAGCCAAAAGCAAGATGTTCCCAGTCCAGGTTCTGGATTTCCCTCTAGTGGTCAGCTTCCAGCAAGCCAAGAACCTGTTACTGCTACAAATGTTCCTGTGCTCTGCTTTATGTGTCTCCATAATGGTTCAGAAATTACGAGCTGAGACTGCACCAAATAAGCAGCATCTCCACTGATTGCCATGACAGCCTTTTCAGTTGGTGCAAGAGAATAATGGAACACCAGCCTTGTTCTTCTTCAAAAAAGGGCTTGTTTTTAATATTTTAATGTTCACACGTATTTTCTCCAGCATCAGCCTTGTATTTCAAAGACCTATTGAGCCAAAAACGTTAATACAGCATTTACCATTAACTTCTTCCCCATCTATATCAATACCACTAGTTCGATATCTGAGAAGTTTACAGAATAGTTTATCTGTCAGAAGCTTCAAACGTACTTTTCTCAGACTTATATATTTTCTCAAACTTCCTTCAGCCCCACACTGGGCACATCCTGTTTAAGCAACAATCCCATTCTGGTTATAACCATAACAAACTGAGCCAGGCATGCAGAGAGGATACAAAATGTATTTATCCACATAAAACATGATGCAACTTTGGACACAAAACACAACTACCACCTCAATGACTGTTCTGCAGAAACTATTCACCTGAGACACATTAGAAAACGTGAAGTCTTACTTTGGCCAGTCATACTAGCCCAGAAGAGTAAAGGCAAAAGAGACGAGCCAGGCAGCTCCAGAGAGCTGGCTCAAAACAACAAGGACCACAGAGTGCACAAGTACTTCCTTACCAATAGCCAAGCGAGTTGGTTTCTTCCTTGGGGGGTCCCCAGCACTGGAATTGGTGTCTTCTTCCTTCTATGGCATTGACAAGAAATACGGAAATAGAATTAGGGGGACAGGCAAGCGGTGGCAGGCCTTAAGGATTGAAATTAAGCTACCCTGAGAACAGAAGGAAGCTGGGCCGAAATAGCATGGGCAATCCATACAACAATGCAACATAAGCAGAGCTGAAGGACTGGTGTCCCTCAATTCACCAGGAAAAACATCAGTTGTGTCTGAGGAGAATAAACTGTATCTGGTTGAATAAAGAGACACAGCCCAGCTCTCAATTTCAGAACAAGCTTGAGCATATATATTTTTATTTTTTACCGGTTTACGTGTTCTTTTGAGATGCAGATAGACCCGCTGGCCTGTTTTCTGATAGTGCCTTTCCACATACTGCTTCCCAAAGCCCAGGAACGTGTTCATGCAGATATACAAGCCGCCATCTGACTCCTGGAAGGAAGGAGGAATGAAACTGAAGGGAGGTGGGAAAGAATGCCATTCCAGCTGCTAGGATAGGCACAGAAAACTAGTCATTATTCAGTAAACCACGGCAACAGCTCATTCCTACATACCAGTCACTCAGCAGCGAGTCAGAAATAAGATGGCAAGCCCCTGCCTGGCTGTCCCACAACAGGCACTCCTGTCATGATGACATATTAAAAAAACTATTTGCCTGTTCACTTACGGCAGGGTGCTACTGAACCAGGAAAGTCTGAGCTTCCCCAGGAGTCTATCTTGCAAAAGGCCCTTAGCACTCACAGTTCACAAGTTCAGAGCACAGTACAATCATTACCAGCAAAACTGTGGCACCCTGTCCAAGAGCACGATTCCAGTGCCACAGGGAATGCTGCCAAGCTACAGTGTGAATAAGGTTAACAGACCACTGTTTACTATTGCTATTGGGTTCAAAAGCTTGTGAGCAGCTCCAAAACAGACCCAGAATGAACCCCACTATCCCCCCAGCAGCTGGAAAACACCATGCTCGTTCAGCAGAAGTATCCTTTTAAAATTGAAGGGGTGAGAGACCCAAATGCAGAGGCTGGAAAGAGTGAAACCACTAAGGTCTCAGCAGCAGCTGAGACAGTCAGAGTGGGCAACGCACGGCTAGGCATCACTGTGGGACTCGGGGAGGGGATGAGGGCCAGGATGCCATGTGCCGCTTCCTCGAAGGACCCGTATCTTCCAATTACAGCCCATTTCTGGTGGGCTGGGGCTCAGCCCGGACGAGCACCCGCGGAGAAGCCCAAGGGGGGACCTCGCTCTCCTGCCGCCTGCGCCTCCCCTGGTCCGCCTAGGCCGGGCGTGGGTAGCGCAGGAGACGCAGGGATGCCGGCGGGGTGGAGATGGCTGGAGAAGGGACCACTGCCATCTTAATGACACAGCACGGCCTTGGCCCC